GTGGAGTGGAGTGGAGTGGAGTGGAGTGGAGTGGAGTGGAGTGGAGTAGGGCGGAGCGGAGTCTTCACCCAATTTTCTTGATCATAAACAGGGTTTGCCTGCTGTCTGAACCTAGAATATGTATTTGCAATCAACTACTGTATCAACTTCTTTAAACTTAAAGCAGGCCAGATTACCAGAAGTATTATCATATAATATCATATGCTAAGCTGATGAACCCTCTTCCAGGAATTCCCCAAAAGAGCCCCCACGATCCTGGCACGCACGTGCGCACAACAAAAGAGAAACAAGCTCACTGGCACGCACGTGGCACATCACCCGGTGCGACTTCTCTAGCGCAGCATCACCCGGTGGCACCACAAGGTTCTTGATGGTACTCCAAACTCGCACGAAGGCCGGTGGCGCGTTGACAATGAGCACCTCGCGTCCCCGCGGATCGATCTGCGGAGAGAACGACAACAACGCGGGAACGGCCTTCGACGTGGCGATGTGCGGTGTCGATCTGCGGATCGAGCATGCGAAACGTCCGTGGATGAATACTCTCAGGTTCTTTTGGTCCAGATTAATCATCCTGCACATGTTCGAGATGAATCGACATGATATGAAATGATGCCATAATATGCCATAGATTCTCTCTCTAGATCGATTTTACAGGACCAATTCCATCCTCCACCACCCTCCTCATGTCCTCCACCTCCACAGCACCTGGCTATCGCCAAGCAGCTCGGCGTCCCGTGCGTGGCACCAGGTACATGCGAGTCTTCAGGAGCTTGCCCAAAGTCTTCAAGGAGCTGGGCTTGAAGCGGCTCCAGCCTGGACTCCAGGGCCCTCAAGATCCCATGTAGGGATCCTATATATGCCCTACAAGTCAGCTTGACCTCATTTTACTGGATATGGCTATACAAAATCAATACTGAAGGAGGTAACAGACCAGGTTTTACTGGGTCTTTGGACTTGTAGGGTATTCCTATATATGCCCTACAATACTCCAGGCCCTGGAGATCCGATCTTCGATCCGTTCGATCTCGGGGAGGGGCGCGGCTAGGGGTGTTGCGTTCGATGCATTGACCAGGCCGCAGCAGGCCGCCGCTAGCCGTTTAGGTATGGTGGTTCCGATGGGTCCCTTAAGCCTCAGAGTCAGGACCGAAGCCGTTCGTCCGGTGCTTTTGGGACACCCCCCTTGGCACCTCTAAGGGGCTATTTAGGCACCTCAAACGGTAGAGCATTGTAGGGCATATAGGGAGCGGTAGCTACAGTAGAAAGAGTAAACAGGCCTTGGCTTCTGCTTGGTTCCTGTCTTATTGGATGAGCTGTTACCAGTGGCAGCACCCTTCTGGGAAAAAACATACTCAAATCACCGGACATATAAGCAGAACCTGTGCTGAGTCCTCATGGTTCCGAGTCCTCATGTTTACCACTGCACGTCCCACCCAGCTAAACGGACCTTCCTGGGTGGACCTGTCGACCCTGTCGAGCAGCTGATGCCCTCCAGGTCCTGCACCAAGGTGGCGTTCACGAAGGCCTCTCCCCGCCGCAGCGCGTCCTGACGACGTGTTCACCGGCTCGAGGGAGCTGAAGCTGGCCCATCCGGGCTCCGGAGGAGGGATGACTGAACCTGGCACCCACGGCCTAGACCGTCCCACCTTCTTCTCAGAAGGTACGACTGGAGCCGGGCTATGGAAACTCGCACGCATGGTCCCGAGTTTGGAGGACGATGAAGTCCGTTTTGGAACAGGTGGCGCACTCACTCCTCTCCACGATTGTTTCGAGGAGCGTGCATCCCCTATCATCCCCTTCTACATTGTGTTTAAAACCTATCATCTCATGTCTCCAGGTATCCATAATCCATATTATAGTATCCATTTTGATATCGCCTAAAATGGTGGAAGTAAGTGGAAGTAAGTGGAAGTGCTCTCCAAAAAATAGTCGGAACTACATCAGGTGCTCCTGGACTCTCTCAAATGTGGGCCATGACACCATCAGCAAATGGGGGAGGTGGTCATCCGCATGATGTCATCTGAGAAAGCCCTAGTCATCACATGTTACATAAGTACACACTGGGTTCGGAGCCTACTTGGTTGATATGGGCGGCCATCCGCTTGCTTACCATCAGCGGCGTGAGCGCGGGCAGGAAGTCAGGAAATCCAGGGAAATTGGGTTCGGAGATCTAACAGCAGCCAGAACATGCCAGGAAGATGTTTGGACAAGGGACTACAACCGTACTACACCCTGGGTTTATCTGGATCTGTTTTAGCTCATTGACTTGCAACTCTGGGTTTGACCACTTTCTGAATACTCGACAGGGCCAAAACCCAGAAATGATCGTATTGTTCTTGTCCTCGTGCCTCAACAAATCCCAGATTTGAAAGTAGACATGGATGGGTCAACCCGTCCTCAAACCAAAACAAAACAAGCACATGTTGCTTTCAGATTCTGCAGCTATATGAATCCAAGTCCATGCCAGCTATGAATCCACGTGCTGGCGGCTCCGACGCTCCGCCCTGGGCGCTTAGCCTGCCTCCTCGCAGCCCGACAGGGTCCGGAGGCAATGCACGATGTCCATCTTCCTTGGATTGGTGAACTATCCCAGGAGCACAAGCAGCAATGATCATGTTAGAAACAGGGCGGGCCAGTCGCATGCTCCAGTTGCCATGACATGAGATGACCCACAACCCTCCCAGAATCAAGTTCCAGGCATTAGTAAGTATATATAAATATAGCTTGAAACATGGCTTAAGCCGTGCTTCCCTTCCCTTTGGAGGAATGACATGCTTCCCCTGCAACCTTTCCCGAACATCTCAGCCAATCGTTGGCTCACGTCTCACATCACAGCTCCTGTCGGGAGTCCCGTCGCTCTAAAGCTCCTCACCAGCCTCACCTGTTAACTCCTTAATGGAACATGTGCCCAGCTCCATGCCAGTCATGGCAACAGCCAGCTCCCCCATGACTACACAATAGATCTTACGGCCACGTCCGCAACTGAGAAGTATCCAGGTGATCTCTTTGATGTTTTAACATGTTCATGAATCATGGAAATATCTTGTAGAACTCTCGAACTCACCTTCAGTCTCGGCTCTGGAGAACTTCATAGGGCACATTGTCATAGAGTGTCGACCAATCCGCTCGGCCCAACCTCTCCTCAGCTTCCACGGGAATCGCTTCCCATCGGTGCCTTTTTCTCGTAAAGCGGCCAAAAGACTCCCAGAACTGCCGCCCTTCTTAGAACCAAAGGATACCAAAGGCGACCTGAAAATCTCCAAGGCGACCTGACGTTCTTTTTGAGTGGTCTTGACGTGTCTTGGTTTTTGGCTGAGAGACACGCTAACCCTTCATATTAGATAGTAAGATAATGATAGCCCTTGCACAATCCGTCTGCAAAGGATCATAATTACCAAATACCACCAAACGAATTTCCCTCCATTCTCGAGGAGAGGCTAAATTTGATTTATGGCAAACATTGGCAAACCCCTACAGAAGCCTTGGGCGACACAAAACCCTCAAGAAACTCCGCTCAGTTTCCAACTTGTCCACCCCGGACCCTGACGACCCCGACTTCAGTTTACGTAACTAGCCCATCAACATCCGAATTGCACCATATATATATATATATATCCCAGACACGACCCATGGGCCCATGGAACTGCCATATATGCCTACATTAGGGTGGTGCCAGGCAAGTCTGTCTGGGGCGGCAGTCCGACCTGGCAGTCCCAGACAGGTCGTGTCTGCGTCTAGTAACACCCTGTTCGTTCCTAAACCTCCCCCCAACAAGGCCATGGCGGCCATGGCCCGGGCTCCCACCAGTTGCCACCTCTCCAGCCACAGCGACCACCTCTCGAGCGACACCAAGGCTCTAAAGCCACAGGTTCACCTTCACGGCCGTGGCCTGGCATGTTCTGCGCCAGTCGACGGGGTTTCTCGGTGAAGAATACCCAGACCATCTATGTCTGGACCTTCCAAGTGACCCCAGGGTTTGAGGTCGCTGAGGTCATTTTGAGGGTCCTGTGATGTATGGAATAGTTGCAGTACATACATTTGAACGATCATGGTTACATGGAGAATGAGCCCGAAAGGAAGACAATGACATCCACTACAAACAGGTAGTTTTCCACTTCCATGTTAGTTCCAGGGAGAGTACCCCCCTGAAAACGACCTCCAATGTAGGTAATTCTTCCCGTCCCATGGATGCTCTGGGATTTTATGACTCATTCAGGGTCAGCCTTCCAGGACTGGATCCTCCACCAATAGCAATAGTGATATCACAGACGAACGGATACAATGACGAACGGATCTTCGCCTCCAATGACTAGGATTAGCATATCAATTGGAGATGTGTCTGTTCTTGTCTTCTGCTTGTCTTTGTGTCACATCGATAGCAGTGCCACGACCAAGCCACGTCTTCCAGCGAAATTGGCACCAAACCGCTTGCAATAAAGATAGTTCTTATGGTCAAACTAGCGTAGGTCCTTCCGTTCACAGCATTGACATCACCGGAACCGGATTGTCTGACATGTGATTTTCTTGCGACGTCGGCGTGACGGGTGCGATCGTCTCATCGTCTGTCTCAAACGTGTGTCTTTTGGAGCTTTTCAGGCCCCCGGGAGCACTGGAGCACTGACCGTCAGAAACCGTCAGTTCGACCGTCGGAACCCGTCAGAAACCGAACGTCGACCGCGCGGAGTCGGATCGAGAGCGGCGTTTTTCCGACAGCGACCTACAACAACGTTGGAGTGGTCGCTGGTGAGCTGCTCCAGCCGGATGCTCGGTGCCCGTAATTGGGTGACCCCATGACACGATAAGGGGCGTTCAAAAGCGCCAAACGACCACGTTCTAGATATGACCAACTCCGTGACCCCTCAAATGTTCTGTGAGCAACTCTGTAATTGAGCCCAGACATCCTGGTGAAGTCAGTTGGCAGAACTGTAGAACCATCCAGGACTCCAGGGTGTTCAATTCTCGAAGCTGCACGCAACATCAACTGCCCCTAGGGATCTGCAATAGCTTCTCAGGTTCGGTACGACTGGACTAGACAATGGGCACCTACAAGGGCATGTGGATCCATAGGGATTCAACCGGTTTCAACCCCTTTTTTTTTGGAATATCGATTCTTGTTCAACATCCTTCGGAATTCTTCGATATCTGCCTTGAAAGACTCAAACGAGGAAAAACAACCACTTCTGCACTTGAACTTGCAATTGGTAGGTGGAACCGCCGGTCAACCCGGATGTCGGTAGCTATAGCCAGCCATAAGCCAACATTTGAGAATTCTGCTGCCCTTACTTCTCAAGTTGGGTGGTACTGCATGACGGTGACATCGACGTTGCGAGGTCGTTTGGGCATGGTTTGGGAAGACTATGGACCCCTTACGATCCCTTATGATCCCCCCTGTGTTGTACCGGTTACCCTCACACCTAGATGTTCAAAGAACCCAAGGCCTTGACAGTTAACAAATGTAAAACAATCGTGGGATAACACACGGGAATCCTTATGCGGCAAACCACGGCCGAGTGACCATGACCAACAACCTGGATCCAACGAAAACAACTGTTACAAATGATGGTCCAATGAGTTTTCCATCGGCTCCATGTATGGAAGTCTATGCCGCCCCATTGACCCCTCAAATCGGCAGTCCTATGGCAGTCCCACTAGTCACCGTCCGGGTTGTCCATCCCCAAAACCAAAGAAGAGACCTCATTGCCATTGCCTTACTTCGCACCCACACCTTCCTTCGGAGGCCGAACGGCGTCGCCTAAGAATCCACCGGAGGGCCACCAGGGGGCTAAAACTCGCTCATAGAGCTCGAGATTCCTGGGGACATGCGAGACGGTGAGGGGCGATCAGGGCGACGTGAAACACGGAACAAAGCCCTTAACCACTTGTTTTCACGGGTTTTGACCTACGGCCTGGATCCATCCGACCTGCCGAAGTGTAGAAGACCCCTTTCCGAGACATTCTACATCATGGGGCTCGCAAAGAGTCATTGGGTCATAGACGTTACATTACACCCTAGAATCCTTGGGCTGTCGTAGGGGTCGGACCCTCCGGAACCTCAAAACCCTATCTGTTTGAGGGCCCAGATTCTTAGGGCAGTAAATTAACTATGTTTGCAGCGTGCAGCCGCAGCAACCCAATGATCCGCAAGCCCACATGGGTGTCAGAAGCTTCCTTTTCTTCTCAACCAACGCGACGGACGCGACGAACACCACGGACACCTTCCCGCGTTCGACATGAAAAAGCGCCGAAGTTCCAACATCTTTCCCGACCGTCACTGTCGTTGCTGCTGAGTGTGTGGGTCGATGCTAGGATCTGCAGCTCACCGTGGCGATTGATGGTTCATGAAGTGGAGGTGAATGCACCAAAACGCCAAGGCCAAAACACACCAATTTTCCTGGCCGGACAAACATGGGAGAACATGCACAAAAACGCACGAAAACGCAGTTGAAGTAAAGGAACCGCAAAACTGTCAACCAAGTCAACTTGGGCATCTGATACTCCCCCTTGGCTGCCTGATTTTTTCGGGCATTTGGACGCATTTGGTTCATGGAGGGGTTCCAGTTTTGTTCTTGCCCGACCTTGAGGAGAACAGAAAAATTACAGTCTGAAAACATTGTCCGAGCCTGATCCAAGAAGGCCAATCCCACTCTACACCATGAAAGTTCACCCGGTTCTTCTCACGTCCGCTTCTCCCACCGTCCGTCAATAACCATCATTCGAATTCATTCGATAAGGATGGACCGATGTCGACCGGGGTGAGTTCGAAGGGCTACATAATATAGAATATGGGTTGCATCCTAAAAAATCCGAGCGGCCGGTGACTCCGCCTTGTTCTGGGACAGTGGGTTACATACAGTAAATTTAGATATCACAAATGTTTGTTTTCTAAATTGATGACAGTCGATGACTCTCCAAATTGGTGAGCTCGGGGGGGGTGCACACTTTGAACCTTCTGCATAGTAAGCAACCAACCAAGAAAATCAACGACCCATCCTCGCCCTGCTGCCAAAAGCATGCGATCCATGCTCATGCTAAGGCTCCAGTGGGTTAGCGCACGGCCCACATCATGTTGTCGCTGCCAGTCCATCTTGGTTCGAGGAAGATCGTGGTGGAACATGGTGGAGCCCCCCAAAATGCTGCTGCTAGCTAAACTTGAAAACATTCAAAACGTTGAAACGCAGCAGCTCCCATTTTCTCGCTGCACGCGCCAGGGGCGGGAGGGCATGAAGTTGTGTCATGAGAAACACTCTTCCCATTCACGTTGGTCAACATCCAGATCCTCTGCAGGCCATACTCAACGCCGGCAGGTGATAGAGCAACACTTCGACCCCACCCCCTACAGAGTAACCAAGCCTCGCCCCACAAGGGCAGAGTGGCTACAGCCACCGAGCGCGTTCACCGCCCAACAATCCAAGCCGCGCACATCCCGCACTGCAACAAAGGCGGGATGGGGGGTAACCAGCATCAAAGGAAGAGAACATAAACCTGTTCCATGTAGGGCTGGGTGGGAGTGGAACAATTATCCAAAACTGGTCCAAAACCGTTTTGGATCCTCTTGAGCATTAACCGCATTAGCCGCGGCGGCGTGCATAAATGCACAACCTGCTCACAAAAAAAACATCCCAACTGGTTAGAATGACTCTATGTCCACCACAACTGCCCTAAAGCACGAGACAATAAAAGGACCAATGTGGGCATAATTATGTGTGTGTCACGCAAACCTGTGTAGTCCAACAAGGCCTTCCGGCCTTTAGTGTTTAAACATTGTGGAGGGCTAATTTTTCTGAACATTTGGGGTTTCCACGCGCCTGGTTCGCAAGCAACGCCTCAACAAAGGAAACGCTAAGCATCACCAGTGCATATGTGGTTTTCCACCCCCGATATATAGACCATAGGGGTAACAGCCAAGAATTCGGCATTGCACTGCGTCGCACAACTTCAAGAGGCCGCTAAACGCCCAGATGATACCCAACGTCATTCTTAGTCTTCTGAAGGGCACTTGACATGTGACCCATAAACAAGGCCCAAGGCGACGGCTAACTGAGGTTTACAATTCCTCGACTAGTGACTAGCGCCTCGAATAATAAGGATCAAAGCCAACAGCTTCCCTACAGTACACCCCCCTAAGTTTTGCCAATCATCGGCTCAGAGCTGCGACTGCCCTTACCCCACTTGTCAGCCTTGCAGAGTTATCTGTCCCTTCATCTAAAATAGAGGACTATGCAGCCGGCGTCTTTAATAAGGTGCATGACAAGGCGCTGCCTCGCGGAACGCCTCTTCTGCCGCTGGAGGCTTCCCGTCACCTTCCCGGTAAAAGCCTGGGACATGTAGGTTTTCAGCGACCGGCCCAGCAGTAACAGCAGCATGCATTGTGGCCCCAACGCCGCAGCCACGAAAAATTGTCGAAAGCGGGCAGGCGCCAAATCTACAGCCCACCGGAGGTAGCATTAGACAAGCCCGTAGCTGGGACGGCTAGACCGCATGATACCGGATGGCTGTTGCAAGCACCTTCGTGGAGCACTTCGGAGCATGAGGGGGGGGCACGCCTGCACTACAATCAGCCAGGTTGAATGATGCGCATGTGCAACAACTGGGCCGTCGTCGTCTTAGCATGTCTTAGCCATGCAGCAGCAGTGCTTTACGACAGACGCCTTCGCCGCCAGGAGGCTTGGGACGATGATAATTAACATTCGGCCGAAGCGCCGTTGAAGTAAATGAGATCGCCTTGTTCGACTCCTCCATTAGAGAAAACAGACCGGTCTACCCATTAGCGCCATAAATAAGATCTCCCTTTTGTACACATGCGAACCTAACGGGGCTTTCTGAACCATAGACACAGGTCTCCAGCGGCACATGAGTAGGTCACAAAAGTGTGCCGGTCGTGGGCTTATGAGATTGATTGGGAGTCACCCAATTGAGGTGCACACCGATTGGGATGTTGGTTCGTCTATATAAGTCTTTAGAGCTCAGGGTTTTCTGATCAAATCGATCAACCTTCAGGATTGGACATGAGCGCGTCCAAAAAGGGTCACTGCCGGTCATCTGATAGGATCGATCGGAGTTGGGGCGAGCCTGGTTTGCCATGTGGATCGTGGAGGTTTGGCATCATTACCCTCAAGGGCTGAATGATTCTGAATGATCCCTGTTTTTACCTGCAGTCGGGAATTTCAGATTTGATTTTAGTGATTCTGCGGGTCAGAATGCCTCAACTTGTCTTGTGCTCCTGCAATCTTCCACCACGGTCGGTTTCTCTTCACAGCCAGGCAGTTTGGAGGGCCCAAGAGATCTTTCAGGCATTATGAGGGACTCTCCCCCAGCAAATGCACAGGAAACAACATGATTCACACGGCCGTCGCAACCTGCATATCACAAAACAACTGAATATCAAAGATCCAAAGCATTTTTGTATGTTTTGTTGTTTTGCGGCGGTCCACCAATTCGATGAAACCCAGCCATGTGGTTTCAGCATGTTGATCTCAAGTGAAATCCTCTCGCTCCCAACATATGGCTGTTGGAAAACGTGGTGATCTTCCAGGAGCTTCATGTAGAAAACCTCCTTAAGCAGCTTGTATGATAAGCTCCTTAAGCAGCTACATGAAGCTTACCTCTACATGTTGTCCCAAAGAACAACCTCCTTACCCAATCTAGGCTGAGAACAGCTCAGCAGCCTCCTGAGGACGAAAAAAGGGATCCAAGCATGAATATCCATGAATGAATCAAAAGGATCATGTACCAGGACCCTCCAAGGGGTGTCCAATGGACTACCCCACACTACCTATAGGCTTCCATTGGGCACCCCTTGGAGGGTCCAGGTATAAATAAATATATATATATATGACATCCTAAGACATGTTGACACATCAACACACTGCTACACGGTGCCTGCTTTTGCGGACCCATATATTTCCCACGTGCCACCCATGGCAGTCCATGGCCACAGTGGGGGAAAAAGAACAAACACGGTGTCCGCGCGGATTTGGCCCCTCGTGGCGGATGCAGATTGCGCGTGCGCAGATGGCGCGCGCTTGGAGCGAGCCACGCAGCAAGGTGCCAAAGTCCTGAGTGGTGAGACTCAGATGACCCAGCCGCGCTGCATAAAAGGACTCGCGACTATAAGGACTTTCCTTAACAGTTAGATCAGGTTTGATCTGTATGACAGGAGCTTCATGTAGACTCTTGATGGTTCTTCCATCTCCATTTTGGATTGTACGTTAAAAAACCTCTTTATATGAAGAATCATATCCCAAACACTCCATGTATGCCATACAACATGCCTACATTGACCCCCAAACCACCCCAATGTAGGCATATATACCTATACATCTTCCTTTGTATGTATTTTTTAAGTTGTTTCGAACAAAACATGGTTGTTGGGGCAGGCGGCGCAAATTTCTGCAGTGCAGCACTTTTTGGATTTTGGATAGAATGGGGGAAATTATAAATTTTTACACATCACCCAAAAGAAACACAAGTAAAGAAACTGCGCAAAACGGCGCCAAAACGGCGCAAAACGGCACCGAAACAGCGCAATTTGTTTGCGCATGGTTTTGTTGCACTACTGAAAGTCCAAAGTGGCAGGCAAACCCATGAAGCGGCAGTTTTTCCAGAAAACGACTAAAACTACATCAAGCGACAGAAATTAGTTGAGTTTCACAAAACGACAACTATTTTACATACCCGGGTGTCTTAGGTATGTCATACATGGAGTGTTTGGGTATGGGCTGTTTTATTGATCAATCAAGAGCCTGGTCTGCATTATCTGACTTATGGCTTGAACATCCAACGACTCTCCCCTCTAGGTTGAAGGATCCCATATGGATCCTAAGGCGGGACCAAACACCTCGAAGATTCATGAGACACTTCGGTGATTTCAGGGGTCACTTGCGGGCATATTGCCCATGGAGCGTCGACGGGACATGGTGTTCGCTTATAGACCTCCCCTATAGGGATCCAGTTCTTTCCTTCTCAGGTTCGGTATGACTGGACCCGAACATGGCACCCATAATTCACACTGTCTCCAATCACCGTACCTGAGACGGTACAACTGGATCCCGAGACCACCGCGCCTTGGTTTCCAAGACCGGGCTCCAAGGCTCAGTCCGACAGTCCGACAAATCCGCCAAACGCCGTTGAAGCTTCTGCACGCCTGCAGCGAGGGCAGGCGTTTCGGCAGGCGTTTCCCATGCCGGTGGAGATGAGGACATGGCGATGAGGACATGGGGGGGTTGTAGATGGTTGGAGTTGTTGGTCGTGGTGAACCACCCAACGCGATACTCCAAGTCTCGTTCAAGACTCCCCAACTGTTAACAACATGTTCCAACCCTCCAAAATCCTTCACTTTCACTCCGGTGCCCCCGCTGCCCCGTCCAAGGGCGGCCAGCGTCAGCTACTCACAAGAAGCGTCACATGTACTCACCCTTCTCTACAGCCGTCTGAGCATACCAAATCACCTAGGACCCCTGGGGGCCTCTTAGCCTCCATGGCCAGACGGCTCTCTTCTCTTCGCCACGTTTCGACGAGTTCGGTCGCCCGCTCCTGCGACATCCACCACATCGGGCGACCGCAACTGGCTGACCCGGTGCATCTGGGCGAGTGACCGAGTGACCGGCCGAGGGAATCGGCAACCGAGCCCGGCGCATCGGCGTTGTGTTGGGTGGTGAGTCGAAATGGCGAGCACAACTGCGAAACAATGCGATCTAAATACAGGTGCTTCTGGGAATGTATGGAGCCCGATGTCAAATCTGGGTGTCACCAAGCAGATTGACATACCAACTACCCCACACTACCTATATAGGCTTCCATTTGGGCACCCCTTGGAGGGTCCTGGTATAAAGCCCTTTTAACTTCACACCTGCTTCTGCTTCAACACGATCGCCAAGACACATCCTGCATCTCTGGAGGCTTTCCTCTGCAGGGATCTGGGCGCAAACCGCAGTACTTGTAGCGTCCGTAGTTGGAACGCCAGGCGTGTTCCTGCAGTCCGAGCGCAAACTCGGCATCGCCAAACTCCAAGAAGCGTCGAAACGTGCCAAGCGAGTCGGTGGATGTGGATCTTTCCAGCGGGCGAAAAGTCTAGCCGAGGAAATGGACCGTGTTTTTTCGTCTGGAAGTCGTGTAAGTAGTGCAACACCAGTCACATTGTAGTTTTGGTTATGGGCATATGACCATGAGTTGATCATCAAATGCAGTTCTAACCGTTGGCGAACTCCCCGTGCGGACCATCATCCGCTCACTGCTTAAGCTGTTGCTCACTCGACATGGCTTAAGGCACGGAGGTTTGGCACGGGTTTTACGGGGTCCCGTATCTCGGACACCTGCGACAACACCCGACTTAGACCCTGAGGGGCGCCCCAGACGTCTGGGGAGTAGAGAAAACAAGTAGAAACACCACCCAGTTCGGGTGGTTTCTAGATCACCCTGACTACGTATTAATGTGTCACGCATTTTACCCCCTCCCAAAAAAGAACCACAACAACAACAACCTCTGGTGCTGGTTGTTTCTGTTCCTCAATCCACCTCAACGGGTTTGCCCAGATCAGTAGAACCGTGGAACCACTATTTGGGATGCATCCCAGTGGCGGCGCTGCTGAGTGTCACCTCCCGCACGGTGCCTCGCTGTGGTCGCCGCCTACAGGTGCAGAAAGGTGTGGGTGCTGGGACCCCCTGACCAGGAAAGGTAGAAAGGGTGTCAACATGCCCATGGCGCATGGCCTCTGAACTCTTACAAAGAAGCTGGGTTTTTGCAGGCCAAAAGCCAAACGAACTGGGTCTATGACAGTGCATTGCTCGGAAAGCATCTCCTGAGGCTCTATGATCGATCGCCCTTCTCCTGACCCGTTTCGCCCCCAAGCTGAATCGAATGCTATAGCATAGCCTCTTCCAAAACGGGGCCAGCTATAGTATAGCAATCCCCGCAATGTCTTTTCTTCCTCTCAGGTCTCAAGCCACAACTCCAATATCTCCACCACCCACGCGCTTCTCGCGATACCATCTATCTCGCTGCCTTGAGCAGCAAAACCGCGAAAAGGTGGATGACGTGTCCTTGAACTTCACCACCTCCACCCTGGGCACAAATCGAGAAGAACTTCTGGCATCCTAGTGGCTGCAGTGGTTTTGGGCCGCCGGATCATAGCTTCATTTGTTTGCCCCCTCCCCATTGATCCAGCCAGGCTCCGAAACGCGGCGTGCCTGTGAAAGGAGTCCCAAACGGAAGAGAGTCGCATTCTACCCGGAAATTGGATGTGTGTGCTTTTTCCGGAAGCCCATGGAAACCTCACATGGTTCTCTCACCCTCCAAACTGAAGGTTTTCCGGTAGATGTTCCCTGAAACGCCAAGTCTGAGAATTACACTCTGACTGACTTGCCTCTATAGAAGAGGATTTCCACTTCGTGATGTGTTCGTCAGAACCCTCCGCACCAGGTGGGGGTCTTCCTGCTCATCGCTGAAAGCCTCGCCTTTCCGACGCCACGGCATTCGCCTCCGAAAGCTCCTGGCATGGCAAGAATGAGCGACACGGGACGGAGCGCTAGTGGTGCCAGGAGCGGTCTTTCAATGGCATTCATGGGCCAAACCCAGACGCTCCTGGAGCCTCATATGCAGGGGTTGGACCCGAATCCTATGGAGGGGTCCAAACCCTATGGTTTTGAGGGACCCAAGGGCTGTTTGGAGCGTCTGGGAAGAAAGAAAGAAAGTGCGATTCTTGTGAAATGATGTCAATGTGCGTGTCTTGTAGACAAATACATTGGAAGGCTATTCCACGCCTCTGGGCAAGCTCACAACATCTCACAACTATATATGTTCTGAAAAGAGGCAGTCAAATCAGACCTGTCAGGAAGAATTTCTTAGCCCCATGCAGGAGCGCTCTACACACAGCTGCACGGACGGAATCATGCAAGTAAACTGATATAGACCATCTTAAACCCTGAAGCAGGCTCCTTGATATAGGGGGGGTTCTACATTATGGAGGATGACCCTTCCAAAAGACTTGCACTTGCTGAGCGCCGCTTTCGCCCATGTCTGACGTACTCACCTCACGATGTCCCCATTCCGTCAGTCCTCCGCAGTTAGAACGTTGCAGGGGCCGCAGCACGTGAAATCCATCAGTACGCAGTTCAGCGTAGAGTGACGTAGGGGTTAGCCGTTTCATCTCCGTTCAAACTAGTCACGAGTCAAACCTATAAGTAGACCTTAAATTGGCTGCCGATGGGGCGTCCCCTGTTGCCAAGCGAGCCAAAGACAAAATGTCGCTGGTCCTGAAGAGGCTCCAAACCGCGTGTGATTGGTTTGCATCCCTGGTCATGTCCTTCTCTATTTATGCTTCTCTGAGGTGAATGATTGCCTTTTCTGGTGCCTCATGAGTGCAGCTCCTCCATGAGTGCAGCTTCCTGGCAAAAGGCTGCACCGGAGTAGATTCCAAGCACTGGATGGATTGCATCATCACAGCCCTCTGAAGGTGTCCACCGGAGAGCTTTGTACCGACCGATGTCTACGTCGCCACGCCGAGGGCACTAAACACTTCACATTGGGGTTTAAAAAGCGTCTCGGAGGGTGGAAAAAAAAAGGTTGGGGTTGAAAAAATATGTTGGAGGGTTGGATAAATATCCAGCCCGTTCACATTTGCTAGGGCTCCAACCATATCCTCAGGTTCGGTGGTTAGACCCCCCCTGGCACCCACCCCTGGCCCATCTTCTCAGGAGGTGGGCCAGGAGCCATAGGGATTAAAGAATCGGAAGCAAAAGTTTACTCGACCAAAACCATCAACCAGTCACTTAGTCACGTGCTTCTCGAGCAGGATCTTCAAGCGGTACCGATTGGGCAACTTTGGAAGTTGCCAAGTGAAGGACGTGTGCTTTCTTCTGCTTCGGTATATGCCCCATCCAATGGGTGCTGCTGCCTGGAAATCCTACGAAGTAGTGGGCTGGGTCGTCACGGGTAGTCCAGCTAGGACAGCCAAATAGGATGGTGCTTGTAGGTTGGCAAGTCTATGTAAGTCTTAAGTCTTAAGTATTACATGGAACCTGAAGAAAATTGACCTTTGGAAGACTATTCTCCTCTACACCCCGGTGGTTTTCGGGTTCCATGTGGGTCTCTTCCAGGGCGAATAAGTTAAACTCTCTGTCGCCAATAGCCTGGCATATTGAGGCATTAAGTTAAAGTCCAAGTTGGGGAGGCATCATATATACATGTGTTTCTCACAGACGCTCCTTTGTTCAAAATAGGCTTAGCTTTGAGTTGGTTGAGCTATCAGGGATTTCTCCACAGCTTCTTGGGAGTTCGACACCAGAATAAAAAACTCACTTTCGAGGGAGTCACGGAGTCTTTGGCGTCAAAAGTGGTAGGCCAAAAGTAAACACTCCAAAAGATCTCAAATTCACCAGGGTCGCTGGGATTTTCCCCTGCTCCGGAGAAATCACCGAGGTCCCCCATCTGCAAGACAAGGGCAGTGGTTGCATCATCCGTGGTTGGGAGTTTCTTAAAGAAACTTAGGAACCAAATTCCAAAATGGCTCCCCTTGAATGGAGCTTGAAGATTTTAAGACTTGCCAAGGCCCAGAACTCTCCTTCGACCCATGAAACGCCCCCACGAAACGCCCCTGCAACTTCCGACATCACTTCTGACATCACCACTGCAGCCCTGTAACTCACCCTTCAGAATTTCCACCTGTTCCTCTGGATCACTCAACCTTGTGGCGCGGATGCGATGCGACGGGCCCCGGACGGTGGTGAACCCCTGCACAGTACTTGAAGGACAACTGCAATCTTCAACGGGACCTTCAGTTCGTGACCTCTTTGGAGTCTCTGTTTGTGACCTCATTCTATCTCAAGTTCGGTCACTTTGAAGGTCCTGGGGCCACACCTGGGATGGAGAATCTCTCGATGACTCTCATTCACTGACCACCGAACACCTGCACCAACGAAACTCGACACGGAAAGAATCAAAGCCCCAGCACTGGGAGGCCACAACCTGCATATATCCCGGGCTCCAGTCATACCTTCGTTTTGAAGGTGGGACTGGGGGTTCGGATGCCAGGTTCGGGTCCAGTCATACCGAACCGCTTCGGAGGTCCAGGTGCGTCTTGAAACCACGCCCCTTCCAGGGCCGTCCGCCCGTCCAATCCGTCGAACGTGGACATCAATGGCCAAACACGACCGGTCTGGAACTGCCCGGACGGATTGCCGCCCCCTGGCACCACCCCTGGCCTGATCGGCATATATATATATATGATATATATGGCATGGCAGTCCCATGTGTCGTGTTTGGGAAGGGCTTTTCCGCCACGTGGGTTCCGGACATATCCGAGATGCCCCATCTCCAAAGGGTGAGAGCTGAAAGGCTGGGCTCGACATGGCGACATGTTTTCTCAGCTCAGTTCTGAAGATGTTCAGTCTGTCCAGCCGTCTACGAAGCCAAACTCCCAAGAAAATATCACCCTGGCAGGTTGACCCGGAATTCTGCTCATGTTCAGTGCTTCACCAGGGTCCTCCTGTTTTGATCCACTGTCATATCAATATCCCATGCTGGTCATCTCGTGTTTCTCCCATCGTCATCGATCCCTTCATCCCGCGCGCGGAGCTAAGGCTGCCAACTCCATCGCCTCCTCCTGGCAGGACGAAGCTCTCTTCGCAACACCCACACGTCATCCTGTGCAGGACTATATATCTCGCTCTTTGCTGTCCTGGCTGGACTACCCAGCCCAGCCCGTTACATACATAGGCAAGGTTGCAAAAGTCTGGTTGCAAACTTGCAAACCATGAAAACACACAGCAGTCTGGGCCTGACCCCTGGAAAAGCTCCACACAAAAGCTGACCCCCGCTCCTGGCACCGTTGGTGCATGCAACCACAAAAAAGTGTACATGAAGACTTTCTGAATCAACCTTTGCATGCTTAGATGGTGGAATATGCTGGAACGCCCTCAACAATCCTCCCGTCGTAAAATGCGTTGTCTGGTCTCATGAAGGCTGCTCGAATCGCTTGTCTGGGGCAAACGAAAATGTTTTATATAAAGCCAGTTGGGATTGGACCCCCGACAAAGGGGAGGGTCTTCATTTTATCGTCATTTCCATGAGACTTGCTTCACCATGAGACCCGCACCCCCTTTTTTTCCGGATCTGTGCCAGTTCATTTGGGGCGAACTGGTGGGCCTGGGCGATGCGATGCGTTGTGTGGCGCTCGTCGGGCGACTAGGTAGGAATGATCAGCAACCCTATCATCCAATATATACATGTACAGCTTCAAGCGGCATAAGTGTAAGTATATAATGTCCAATAAGTCCTCCTAGCCTATATCGCCTATATCATAGAAAAAACAGAGAATGGTATCATTGTGGTGAGGTAGTTCACCCTATTACCCTATCAGATTGCTGAACATCGATGTGAGCGGAAGGCGTAAGTGTTGAAAGCTTGTGAAAACCTGCGAATCCAGAAATCCCATCTTGGAAAGGATCCCTTGTTACCTTGTTACCTTGGTGTTAGATATGGAGGCCCTAGAGAAGAAGTGCTTCGAACATGACACATCTGAAGGCCGAAAGCCACGCAGGCCTGTGTTTTGACCTATATGTAGCCAAACTGATGAGTTACAGTATAGTATAATAGCTCATAGCTCCGGTATTTTCGGTATTTTCACCCATCTCTCCAAACCGAGAACAACACTGCTTGGGATGAGCAATGCGTTGCTAACAGATTGCGTAGCTAGCCCAGACCCAACCCAACCACAATCGACACAGTGAACTCTGACAAAAAAAATGTTGCAATGTCACCGCGAGCATGTTCGTTGGTGGGAACAATTGAAACTTGCATGGATCCGTCAATGCTTCGGCGCGTTTTGGAATGACACTTTCCTCCAAGCAATTACTCTTGATAATCTCATCGTCGATCATCTTCATCTATATAGATCTACTCCATGTCCACCATCCCATCACCATCACACCAGTGGCTGGCCACGCGCATCTCTTGTGGCCTCGCCGAACGGCGACGTATGCCAAACGGATCACCCAACCAAACGGACGCGTTCCCGTACTAAGCTGGAGAGTGTTGCAAATGTGTGTGTGTGTGTGTCCATAACTCGGTGCCAAGTGGTGTGAAGGAAAAGAGAGATCCAAACATATCAGGCAATTGCTCATCTGCAGTGGGGGCCACTGAAGAAGGATCAGCCTAACACGCGGCGCTCATGTGTGCTCCCACGCGCCTGGGCGCCTGGGTGGGAGAGGTGCCACTTAAGGACTTCAACCTCACCGGTGCGTGCTCATAGGCGCCGAGATGCGGCACATGGCAGCATGGCAGGTTCGTATGGCAAAGTACTTATAAGTGGATTGAGAGTAGATAGCAAAACATTCCCAAAAGGGGTGTTCTATTGAAACCCCTTTTGAAGCCAGTGCCATCTATTCTAAAACCAGCATTTTCAGCTACCTGCGAACCTCTACACCGGTTTTGGGTTTCGCGTGCATCCACCGTTGTCACTGCGAATGTCCCCGTCTCCAACTCAAAACACCAGCTCCAAACAACGGTGCTGCGGTTCCACTAGAAAAGCAGCAACAGGATCCAATGATCCAAGTGTCTGAACATTGCTTTGGCTTCGTTTTCAGAGCCCAAGAAGGTCTTCACTGCTGTCTCATGAGCAATTGGCTGGTGTCGGATGACTGACACGCGCTTGTCGCCGCTTGTCTTTGACGTGCGTTTCCTGTGCAAAAAGCCACGTCTTCGGCCAGTATCTGCAACATTTTCCGGAATGAATTAAGGAATTAAACTCTATCTGAGCAATTTGGTTCATTGGGGCAGGTTCAGGGGAGGAATAGTTCAGGATACTTGCTTTAAAAGCAATAAACAAATGAACAAACACACGCGCTTCAACAGGCCCGATCCCTAGTACAAAACCAATCTTCACACGACCTTTCCTATGGTGTTTCTACCACGTCAATCACCGGAACCGAACTGAGTTCGCGCGCGTCTCGCCCTCGAGTTCGCCCAGAAACGAGGTGATCTCCTGAGCTAAGGGTGAGGGCCCTGAGGTGCTCGGACTGCCTGCGGGCTGCGGGGGGGAAGCGACAAGGTGGGGAGCTGCTCAAAGCACAGTGGATCTGAAATGTGGTGGATCTGAGACTTCCTGACCCTAGGCCTCCAGTCATACCTTCGTTTCGGTTCGGTGGGACTGGGGCCCGGGT